TTATAGGTGGGCCACCATACCTGATGCAGGTAGAGTTTTTAAAAAGTCCTACATACTCCTCAGAACAAGGGCATCTCCAGTATGTTCATACTGAGATCATCATATTTCTAGGCCCTTCCAATATTGTTGTTGTTGTTGTTTTCTTTTCTTTGAGACAGGGTCTCGCTGTGTAGCCCTGGCTGGCCTTGAACTCCGGGCAATCCCCCTGCCTCAGCTTCCTGAGCACTGGAATTATAGGTGTGTGTCATCACACCCAGCTCTTGCATTGTAAAGGTGACAGAACTGAGACAGAGATTAATTTACCAGGTTTTATTTTTTTGTTTTTTTATTTTTTTTTGTCTTTTTGAGACAAGGTCTCGCTGTGCAGTTCAGGCTGGCCTTGAGCTCAGTTTGTAGCCCAGGCTGGCCTTAAACTCACAATGATCCTCCTGCCACAGCCTCCTGAGGGCTGGGATTACAGCGTGCGCCACCACGCCCGGCTCAAATTTACCAGGTTTTAAAAGACCAAAGACAGAACTCAGCTGTCTCAAATGCAAGCCCAGCATCAGTGTAAGCAGCGAGAGGTGAGTGGGGGTCTTCACCCGGATTACAATTCGCAAAGGGGTTCAGTGCTCCAGCCACCATGCAGAGCAACGAAGATGGACATTCGGGTTTGATGCCATTTCCCAGATTGAGAAAGACCCAAACAGTAATGCCCTGAAGATTTTTTTTTTTTTGTCTTTTTTGAGACAGGGTCTCGCTCTGCGGTTCAGGCAGCCTTGAGCTCACTTTGTAGCCCAGGCTGGTTTTGAACTCACAACAATCCTCCTGCCTCAGCCTCCCTGAGTGCGGAGATTACAGGTGTGTGCTACCACACCTGGCTAAGATTTTTCAATCATGTTCAATATTATTGTTATTATTATTACTGCATTTTCTTTGAAACCACATAGACTGGGCTTGAATCCCAGCTCTGCTGCTTAGGGCTGAGCAGCCCTCGGGCATGAGCCTTAAACTTCCTGTGGCTGTTTCCAAATGAACAGATGAGACAGTCCAAAGCCCAGGTGCCCGTACCTGTTGTACACCTTCAGCAGGATCAGAACCACGGTGAAGATGATGATGATGACCACAACAATGGCGGCGATGATGGCTCCAGCACCTACAGAGGAGAGAGCCCCGGGAGGGCGGGTGCGCAGGCTGACTGCAGGGAGGGGCCCACTATGGCACTTGATGTCCCCACTGAGTCAAGGGAAGGAGCCGACACTCGCTGACGACCAAGCCAGTGGCACCTCTCCAGTGCATGCGCCTCTAACCCAGATGGACCGGAAGGACCACAACCCCAGCACGTCATCTGTCAAACTCCATCCTAGGCCGAGTTCTATTCCTATCAGTCCCATTACAGCTTCTACCTTCTTGTGTAAAACAAACAAGCAAATGGCTGCCCTGCTTTTGTTTGTTGTAAGACAGAGTCTCAGTTGATATTCCAGGCTGGCCTTGAACTCCTAGCAATCCTTCTGCCTCAGCCTCCTGAGTGCTGGGATGACACCTGTCATTCACCATGACCGGCCTTCCTGCTTTTGATAATGCAAAAGTTACATTGCATATGAAACGTTTATTAATATTTGTAGAATAATTTATTAATCCTATGTCTGAAAAGTCCATCCTGAGAAAATATTCCTAAATGTGGAAAAACAGGCACTTGGTAAAAATGTAACCATCTTCCACACTGTTTTATAATAAACTCATAAACATCTTTCCATGTAATTACTTTTTTTTCCATGACTGTTGGTTTTTCTTCCTTGTTTTTGTAGTCCGGGGGACTGAACCTAAGGCCTTGTGCACATTAAACACGTACAGATGTTCCTCACTTAACAACATACTTGTTTAATGACTGCTCAGACTTACAATCAAGGGGAGCTGTTCAGACTTCTGACTTGTATGTGTTGGGGGGATATAGTACACCTTGTTTATAAGTACTGTAATTTTTTCTGATTTTACTGTAGAGTAAATTTTTCAGTAATTTTTTCTGATTGTACTGTAGAGTGCAGTATTGTAGTTTACAGTACGGCATGTAAGAGTAATGCAAATAAACTTGATGTGGTGGCACATGTGTAATCTTAGCACTTGGGAGGCTGAGGCAGGAGGATTGCTGTGAGTTTGAGGCCAGCCTGGGCTACATAGTGAGTTCTGCTTCCTGGCATGAGGGCTGGTTACACCAATGTATGCACATAGTGACAATTTATCCACTTTATGATTTGGGTATTTGTGTGAATGTATATAAGCCTTTCTAAAATGACTTTATTTGCTAAGTCTGGTACCCTAGCCAGGAGGGTACATGGCCTAGTGAAGAACCACTACTTTTGGTTAAGTTTCCCTCCCGGCTGAACGTCACTGTGTGCCCCCCACAAAACCCCCGGGGCATCCCCTTGGGACTGTCTAGAGATGCACACAGCAGGCCTTGGGGGTCCAGCTGCTCAGCCGGCGAGAAGTAGGACAACTGGGCAGGCCTGTTCCGAGAGCTGCCCTGCTGGGTCTCCAGGGAAGGTCAATGGTCTCCTGCTCTTAATCTGGCCACCGGCAGGTGCCACAGCCTGGGGCTGTCTGTCATGGATGTGGGGGAGCTGCCCCTGCACGAGGGGAAGCCTGTGTCATTCGTATACACAGAGCCAAGGGAAACGGCAGAAAGGGACTCAAACATCTCTCTATAGAATCAGTTTTTCTCTTCCTTTCTTTCTTTCTTTCTTTCTTTCTTTCTTTCTTTCTTTCTTTCTTTCTTTCTTTCTTTCTTTCTTTCTTTCTTTCTTTCTTTCTTTTTTCATTTGTCTTTTTGAGACAGGGTCTCACCATGCAGTTCAGGCTGGCCTTGAGCTCACTTTGTAGCCCAGGCTGGCCTCAAACTCACAATGATCCTCCTGCCTCAGCCTCCCAAGTGCTGGGATTACAGGCATGCACCACCATGCCTGGCTGAACATTTTAAAAGAGATTCAAATTCCTATTGCCCTCTATGACCCCATAATGAAAACAAGAGTAGTAGCAGGAATTCTAATGATGGTGCCAGTTAGGTACTGAGTATGCACTGGAAGCTACGGGGTTATTCTATGACCTTTTACACAAGTGAGTGATCTCTTCGAGTTCTCATAAGCATTTTATGTGGCAGCTTCATGAATATCCCCATCTTATAGATGAGGAAACTGAGGCCTAGAGCACAGAAATCATGCGTTCAGGGACATACAATTGGCAAGTGGTGGAACTGGGTCAGCACAGAGAGCCAGCACCTATCTCAGGGCCCACACTCTTGACCTCTGCACCCCAAGCGGACCCTGACTCTTGTCCTGCCAACCCTCCCCTGCCTTCAAGCCAGATCGAACTTACTCTTATAGAGGAAGTCTTCCTCCCTCGTCACATTCAGAGAGAAGAAGGTGGAATCCTGCAAAGTGGTGGGAGCGGTCATCTTGACCCTGGAGAGAGTGAAAAAGAAATTTCGCTTAAAACCAGAGTGAGCCTTATTGTTCCTGTCCGGTGTCTCTTTCGGTCTGTCTGGATGACTGGAATAGTCACACATGCAGTCCTTCCTCACAGCAGAGGCCCATTACTAAATACGAGAGCTGGGGGCAGACTACAAATAATTCTCAAGACTTCCAAGAAACTTCGTTTTCCAAATCCCTTCAACAATACAGTGGACCCCTGAAATTCACGGGGGTTACGCTCCTAGAGCACCTGCCAATTGTGAAAAACAGCGAATTTCAGATACGGTCAGAAAAATGCCTATAAGTGCCTATTTTTTTTTTTTTTGGTTTTTCTCTCGTACCGGGAACCGAACTCATGACCTTGCGCTTGCCAGGCAGGCGCTTTGCCACTGAGATAAATCCTCAGCCCCTAGTGCCTATTTTTATAGCTTAAACCCTAAATATGCTATGTCTCCATAGTTATGTAATTTAATTTAATAAAATACCATATTAATAAAGCCTTAGAAGGTGCAGAGTGATTTGGCGGCATCTTAGGGATCTTAGCACTTTAAGAACAGAAGCGAAGGGGATATAGCTCAGTGGCATAAGCGCCTGCCTGGCAAGCCCAAGGTCCGCAGTTCGATTCCCAGTACAAAAAAAAAACAAAAGCGAGAACACTGGAGATAGCGACGCGTGGGGGCAGCAACCTCTTATGATGCGTGAATGCTGGTGCATCTGCCAGAGGTGGGTTACAGGGCAGCAGCCAATCAGCAGCAAGAAGAACTGAACAATGTTCTCAGATTGGCTACTTGCAACCCCCCCCACACAAAAAATGCGGAGGGTATTTGTGGTTTCCATGAAATTGTTGGGGTTTCCACGAACACATAGTTAGGTTCTAAAGAAAAATCCGCCGAAGACTGAGGCGGCTAACTCTGAACAGTGACTTCTCAGCGGTGTACTGTATTCATCCAGTTCCTCCCGTGTCTCACACAAACTGTCTAATTTGATCTAGAAACCATGTGACTTAAGTTACCACTGCTATTTTGCTGATAAAACTGAAGTCCCCAAGACTCCATGGAGCCCTAAGTTTACCCAGCAGAACTTTACCCAGGTTGTCTACCACCCATGCTAGGGTCCTTTTTTCACCCTGAAACAATGCCTGAAAAGGTATTTCTAGTTTTTTTTTTTTTTTTTTTTTTTTTAGACAGGAAGATTTCTTTGGAAAAACCTCACACATAAG